AAAAAAAAAAAAAAAAAAAAAAAAAAAAAGGAGACACTTATTTATTACTAATAATATACAAGGAGACACAAAAGGAGAGACACAAGAAAGAGACACAAAAGGAGACACAATAAGGAGACACAATAAGGAGACACAATAAGGAGACACAATAAGGAGACAGAAAAAGAGACACAAAAGGAGACACTTACTAATAAAAAGGAGACACTTAGTAACAAGGAGACACTTAGTAACAAGGAGACACAAGAAGGAGACACTAATTAATAAAAAGGAGACATAAAGGGACACAAGACACTGTTCTTTGCTGCTGCTGCTGCTGCTGCTGCTCCCCGTGCCCTTGTTGCTGCCGCTGATGCTCCTACCTCTGTTGTTATTCCTGTTGCTGCTGCTGCTGCTGCTGCTGCTGCTTCTGCTGCTGCAGATAGTATTGAAGGGGAGCCACAAGACAGAGAGGGATGGAGGGAGCTTGTTAGTGAGGTAAGAAAGGAGACACTTATTAATTAATTAATTAATTAATTAATTAATTAATTAATTGTCTCCTTTTATTTATTTATTTATTTTATTTATTTTATTTATTTATTTTTTTCTTTTTCTTCTTCTTTTTGTCTCCTTTTTATTATTTATTTGTCTCCTTTTGTCTCCTTTTGCCATTAAACAAACTAGTAAATTTATTTATATATTTATATATTTATATATATATTTATTTATATATTTATTTATTTATTTATTTATTTATTTATTTATTTATTTATTTATTTATTTATATAGCTAAGGAAGACAAAAGAATTAACAGAAGAAAGATTAAATGAACAAATTAAACAATTGGCTATTATGCAACAAAATCTAGATAAGGAGGTATACCTGCTGCTGCTGCTGCTGCTGCTGCTGCTGCTGCTGTTGCTGCTGCTGCTGCTGCTGCTGTTGTTGTTGTTGTTGCTGGTGCTGGTGCTGGTGCTGGTGCTATAGTTGTTGCTGGTGGTGCTGCTGCTGTTTTTGCTGCTGCTGTTTTTGCTGCTGCTGCTGCTGCTGCTGCTGCAGCTGCAGCAAGACTGTCAGGGCATTGGACATTGTTGTTGTTGCTGCTGTTGCTGCTGCTGCTGCTGTATGTTTGCTGCTGCAGGCAGGGAGAGCAGCAGCAGAAAGGAGACAACTGCAGCAGACACAGGCAGAACTACAAACATTAAAAAATGAATTAATTAGACAAAAGTAAATTATTAATTAACTGTCTCCTTCTTATTTATTTATTTATTTATTTATTTATTTATTTATTTATTTGTTAATTTGTTTACTATTCCTGTTTATGTTTATGTTTATTCTTTTATTTATTTATTTACATCTATATTTATACTAATTGTTGCTGTTGCTGCTGCTGTTGCTGCTGCTGCTGCTGCTGCTGCTGCTGCTGTGCAGAGAATTAGCAAATAGCCATAAGACAAGAGAAGGTTCTTCTTTGTTGTCTTCTTTTCCTCGTCAAGGACAAAGACATTTACCTGAGGGTTTAACAAATAAAGAATTAAAAGAATTATTAGAAGAAGTTCTTGTACGTATTCATTTATTAGGGTTTAGGGTTTAGGGTTTAGGGTTTAGGGTTTAGGGTTTAGGTGTGTATGGGTGTATCATTAGAGGGTCTGTTTTTTATTGCTTAGTTAATTATATCTTTATATTAACATTCTAGGGTTTAGGGTTTATGGTTTATTCGAATTATGGTTTATACGAATTAGGGTTTATACGAATTAGGGTTTAGGGTTTAGGGTTTAGGGTTTAGGGTTTAGGGTTTAGGGTTTAGGGTTTAGGGTTTGTGTATACTATAGGGTAATTATTGTGATTTACAACGAGAATCGGAGATGTTAAGAAGAGAAATTTCTCAATTAAAGGAAGGAAATAAAGAACCCACTATAGAGAAGGTAATTATATTATTATTATTATTATTATTATTATTATTATTATTATTATTATTATTATTATTATAGCTAGCTATCTAGCTAGCTAGCTATCTAGCTAGCTAGCTAGGGTTTAGGGTTTAGCTTAGTAGAAATGTAGCTGTGTATGTAGCTAGCTATGTAGCTAGCTAAGTAACTAGGAAGGCAGCTATCTATCTATCTATCTATCTATCTATCTATCTAGCTAGCTAGATAGATAGCTAGCTAGATAGCTAGATAGCTAGCTAGCTAGCTAGTCCGGATATGGATGGTGTGGTGTTTAGGGTTTAGGGTTTAGGGTTTATTGTGTATTTTTTTTTCTTTTTCTGTTTATACAGTTATCTATAGAACAAAGAAGACTGCAGCAAGAAATAAACAAGAAAGAAGCAGCAATTGGTAGATGGGAGGCATTTGCTGCTGCATTAATGTCTATTATTAATACACAAGAAGAAGCAGCAGCAGCAGCAGCAGCAAATGCAGCAGCTAATTGTGTAAGTATATACACAAAAAAAAAAATATATTCCCTTACCCTCTTATTAGGGTTTAGGGTTTAGGGTTTAGGGTTTATGAGACAGGGGAAATATATGCAGCTGTGTGGCTACTGCTGCTGCTACTGCTACTGCTACTGCTGCTGCTGCTGCTGCTACTGCTGCTGCTGCTGCTGTGTTGCTGCTGCGCAGGTGCAACGAGTAAGAGAAGAGTTAAATAATGTCCTTAGCCGCAGCATCCTTCTCTATGAGCCCCTTGCAGGAGACACCAAGCAGCAGCAGCAGCAGCAGCAGCAGCAGCAGCAGAAGCAGCAGCAGCAGCAGCTAAATCGTGCACAAGGACAGCAGCAACCAATGGGTGTCTCCCGCAGTCCGAGTCTAGGCAACAGCAGCAACAGCAACAGCAGCAGCAGCAGCAGCAGCGCAGCGCCAACAGAGAGACAGTGTACAGATAACTCAGAGGCTGCTGCGCCTTCTGCTGCTGCTTCTCCTAGAGCAAGAGCGTCTCTTATTAGCAGCAGCAGCAGCAGCAGCAGCAACAGCAGCAGCAACAGTAGTAGTAGCAGCAGTGATAGGAGCAGTGGTGGTAGCGATAGCAGCAACAGAAGCAACAGCAGCAACAGCAGCAGCAACAGCAGCAGATCTGGTCTGCATGCAGAGGAGACAGGAGACACTCCCTCCTTGTCAGTAAGAGAAAGAATTGCTAATATTAATAAAAAAGAAAAAAAATAAATAAAAAGATACACGCTGCTGCTGCTGCTGCAGGAGCAGCAGCAGCAGCAAATAGTGCTGCAGCAAATAGTGCTGCAGCAAACAGAACAGCAGCAGCAGCAGAAATAGCAGCAGCAACAGGGACTGCAGCAGCAGCAATAGCAACAGCAGCAGCAGACTAAAACGTCAGTTTACTGCTGTCATTAATCCATAAGCTGCTGCTGCTGCTGCAGCAGCAACAGCAGCAGCAGCAGCTGCTGCTGCTCATGCTGCTGCTGCTGCTGCTGCTGCTGCTGCTGCTGCTGCAGTGTGTCGAGTTTTTATGTATTTATATGTTATGTGTATACTT